GTTGTGATTATCCTCCCATTTGTTGGTTGCCTACGTTGGGGGTATGGTTGTTGACTATGCCACATCTCTGCCCTTCCTACCCGTCTCTTTGTGGTTCCTTCTTTATATCTTTGGTTGTAGAAGATCTCTTCTGCTAGTCTTCTGGTTGTTCTCATCGATAGTTGTTCTGTAAATAGTTATTTTGGTGTGCCCATGGGAGGAGGTGAATTCAAGGTCTTCCTACTCTACGATCTTCGCCAGTCCTCCCAGCCTTTTCTTTTAACCTTTGTTCTCTGAAACATTTCAGTAGAGTTTATTTTAAGCAACTTTTCATTCAGATAGTCAACAGAACGACAGATGTTTCCCTATAAAACAAAATATCTTTTGAAACTATAATGAAGGAATAGAGCTTTTCTCATTTTCTTTTTACATTTATAATTCAAGGAGGTTTGTGAAACTCATTTATTTTAGGTATTGACATCTTCGCTACTTAATATTGGAATATGAAATTTCCACTTTGGTTTTTGTAACAGCAGACCAAGCATGAATTGGGCCCTTGGGATTAAAATCAAATCTCTGCTTACAAATTAGAGATTCAGACACCATTATCACTGGGCTTTCTCAGTAGACTTAACATGGCAACTTGGAAATAAAAGTCTTCTTTCTGTCTTCTATATAGCATTTAGGAATTTTAAGTTTCTATGTCAGTTGTAAACTGGGTTTTCTGGCTTTTGTCCTATCCCTCTCCTGTTTATCATTAGTACTTATCTCTCACAGGAGAATATACAAATGTATTTTAACATATCATTGACTCGGGGATTTTTGCAGAAACGAACGCCTGTGGCCAGCAATTTGTTATTTAAGTGAATATTGAAACACCCACATTTGAGTAAATATCAACTTTTTTTGCACTTAATGTATTTTTTTAATAAATTTATTTATTTGTTTATTTTTGGCTGAGTTGGGTCTTTGTTGCTGTGTGCGGGCTTCCTCTAGTTGCAGCAAGCGGGGGCCACTCTTCGTTGCGGTGCACAGGCTTCTCACTGCGGTGGCTTCTCTTGTTGCGGAGCATGGGCTCTAGGCGTGCGGGCTTCAGTAGCTGTGGCTTGCAGGCTCAGTAGTTGTGGCACATGGGCTTAGTTGCTCCACAGCATGTGGGATCTTCCCAGACCAAGGCTCAAACCTGTGTCCCCTGCATTGGTAGGCAGATTCTTAACCACTCTGCCACCAGGGAAGCCCTGCACTTAATGTATTTATTGGAAACTTAATGTATTTATTTGAAACTTAATGTATTTATTGGAAACTGTATTTATTTATTTATTTGTACATGTCTTACTAAAGCATTCTAATATTTCATTAGAGTGTGATAGGCAGTATAGCAGTCAACTCTATGCAGGGGAACAGAACATCTATTACAAATATACTGTGTTTCACTGCACTTTCCCCTGGAAGAGCAGGCTCTACACTTTCTGGCAGCATGTTTTTTTTTAGTCCTGTGGGTATTATTTCCTCTAGAATATGTGCTTTTACCTGATAGTCAACAAGGTGGATCTTTGTGGGGGGCTCTTTTAGAAATGCCACAAGAAAGACCAGGTGCAGGACTACCACTACATTCACTAGAATGGTCACTTACCCATTCTCTAGCTACTGCTAACAAAAATTGCTTGTAAGTCATTTTATTCTGTGCATTAATGCTACAGTTAATTTTAAATGCATTGAGTAAACCACAATTACTCAAATAGAAACCCACTTTCTTATACCATTTTTGAGTTTTCCAGAGGATATTGAAGTTTGCCAGATACTGACCGGATTGATCAACTCCTTTTTTTTTTTTTTTTTTTGCGGTACGCGGGCCTCTCACTGTTGTGGCCTCTCCCGCTGCGGAGCACAGGCTCCGGAAGCGCAGGCTCAGAGGCCATGGCTCACGGGCCCAGCCGCTTCGCGGCATGTAGGATCCTCCCAGACCAGGGCACGAACCCGTGTCCCCTGCATCAGCAGGCAGACTCTCAACCACTGCGCCATCCAGGGAAGCCCGATCAACTCCTTTAATATATTTATTATACTCTAATATTCAGATGGGCTTAGTTATGTGGTGGCCAGTCCTCCTGTCTTCCTTTCCTGTAGATGCTCTGGAGGCATCATGAATAGTTGTCACTGTGTGGACTAGCCTCTTGTCTTTCCGTAAGAAGAATCACTTCTCCCGTCTGTAAGAATGTCATTTCTCCCCCTGTAGATTTTTAGATTTCTCCTTTAATTGGTTTGGTAGACCATGATTCTCTCTTATTATCCCACAAACTCTGGTTTTATATTTCAACAATATTTCAGATGTGGACACACTGTTTTAATAATTGTCTTGGTAAAATAAATATGGTGCCATGAACCAAGGTGATTGTAGGACTGATAATAGTTTCTTGCAGTTTCTTTCCTTCACCCATGTAAATTGCAAGGTTGCATATATATCCAGTTTCACTTTTGCTAACCATCCTGACCAAAGTTCCATATTTTGTAAGTTTTCCGTGATTATAGGTTTTGAATCTGAGTCATCCTATCCACTTTATCATTGCCTCCTCAAGTGATAGCTTTTGTTTGGGTATATAGATCAATTGAAATTTTGGTAGAAAATAATCCAAAAAAGTTTTAACTTTTGAAATTCTGTCTTCAGGAAGTAGAGTTTCCGAGTTATTGTTAAAGTGAAGAAATGTCATTATTTGTTCGAACCTTCTTCTTGTCATAATCTTTGAAAAGATAGGTGTTTCAAGTAAGGGATCAGTCAACCAATATTCTTTCCAGTGTGACTTTCTTATTTGTCCCATCAAAATTATTAATCCAAGAAACTTCATCTTGTCACTATTGGTTACATCTGTCCATTTTAAAGCCTTATCATACTTTTTATATTTTTCATTCTGTGTACAATACAAGTTTGTTTGAGAAGCAACCAGCTTGGAAAAGTTGTTACCAAAAATTAATTCTGTTATTTCACTAACACTTTGTGGGTTGTTACATTAATAGTTACATCTAACACATCTGTAAGATGTTATAATTTTCGTGAAATGTTGTCTTCAATCCACTCTTCTGTAGAAGCAAAGGAACATTCTCTAGCACCTTGAGTTTCATTTTCACTTTCCTTATCAGAATCAATCACTAAGGTTTTTTGTCTTTTTTTTGGTCTGATATTCACATTGTCTAAATCAGAACTACATTCTGAAGAACTGTCGTCTTCTGAGACACTAGTATATATGTCGCTCGGACAGTCAGAAAAAGTATCCGCATAAAATTCACTGAAAAATTCTTCTTCACTCAAAATTTCGTGTTGTATCATTTTTGAAAATTTTATGGTAATAAACTTGCATTTATAATATACACAAGGTTGGAACAAAAACCTAATGGAGCAAAATGTGAATGATAATGACAATCATAAGCTGTCCTTGATCAATTTTAAGCTCTAACAACTTCGCACAGTGATGTTAATTGTATCACTCTCTAAAAATGTATTGATAGGTTGACATTCAGGTAACAAAAGACGTATTAATGACATTCGGGTAACAGAAGACGTATTAATACATCTCCGGTCAATAATGTGTTAAAATATTGATATTCATATTTTTGTATTACCATTGATTAACATGAATAGGGGTTAATATCCAAAGCAAAGCAATTTAAAAATTAATTATTGGGGTCATCTTAACCCTACTTATATCAAGATTTGAATAACTCAATGGCTAAAGTTTATTACTTCCATTAAAACTTTAAGACTAATCAGGAAGTAGTAGTGTTTTTATTTCTACTCTTTTCATAGAATATAAACGTACTTTTTTCAATTCTGTTAATCATGGAAAATTCTAAATCTCTTACAAAAGTAGATAGACTAGCCTAATGAAACCCCATATACTCATCACCCAATTCAACCATTGTCAATCCATGGCCAATTTTGTTTTACCCATTTCCCCCCTGCCCTCTTATTATGAAGCAAACCTCAGTTATCATTTCATCCATAAATACTTTAGTAAAAATATACCTTTTTAATCTTAGCATCTTCCACAGCAGCAGTTTAGTACAGTAAACATTTGTCTTGTGCCTCCTGTTTAGAAGGTAGACAATAAAACATATAGTGATTATTAAAATGAGAAAGAAATAGGCACTCTCCTAAACAAACTTATGGTATAATGGGAATGGGGGAAGATAAGTGTTCATTAATTTGGTCTTCCTTGATGATAACAAGTGTTATTAAAGTATTAAAAAGTCAGATTTTTTAATGCCTCATAAAATGGGCATTTTATGTTTCTAACAATGTGAGCTGATATGAATTATAAAAGTTTTTTATCCTTTAATGCCACTGTGATGACAAATGAGATTGAGAAATGGTGTTAAATATTTTTTAAGTATTTAAATTTCCTTATTTAACTTAATTTCTTGATAACAGTTTTTTTCTGGTGCATACACTGTTTCAAAGAATGATTTTATGTGACATAAACAGATATTCAATACCTACCAGATATTTTTTCTTAGCTGCCGTTTCTACTACTGAAGAGCCTAAAAGTCCCTGAGGCAATTTCTATACTGAGGCTGATTTTATATGAAAGAGCTTTGCTCTAAAAGCATTTCCTTTTGAGTTGTCTCTGAATTCAAAATTGTTATCAGTGGAACCATGGAACTAATAGTATGTAGGCTCTTGGGTCCATGTCAACTGCCTGCTTCAGTACAGGCTCCCGGGACAGCTAGGAGATCTGTGGCAATGAGCAGGTTCATCTGGAAAGGGCATGTTTCTACCCCAGAGCCTGTTCAAGTTGTCCTTTCCTTATCACTGCACATATAATAACTCCAATGAAATGTTAAAAATGTTGCTCCTTTGTTTAAGAAAAAAATGTGTATCAAGTGTGTGGAAGAAAAAAAGCTGTATGTTCCTTATTTCACCAGTATTGGTTAAAAATTTTTTTTATATTTATGTATTGCCACAGTGACCTCATGTGGGAAAAACATTTATTTCACACATTTTTATTAACTCTTAATCATTGTACAAATAGGTTTCAAACTGAAATTCAGACGGTGAATAAACAGTTCCCATGTGAGCCATTCAAATTTTTGGAGCCAACTTTAAGACTAGAGTATTGTGAAGCATTAGCTATGCTTAGGGAAGCCGGAATTGAAATGGGAGATGAAGAAGATCTAAGGTTTGTTTGTCTTTGTGATTTTTAAAACTTTAGTAATTAGATTTAAGATACAAAAGAATAAATATATTGATGAATGATGGTTTTTTCACCCAGTTGATAAACTTCAATTTTATTAATTTTGGTATATAGTATGATGCTTGTTTTGTTCAATGTGTGATCTGAAATAAAATGTTATGTTTAATGTGATTTGCCTAAGCTTCAGTATTTTTGTTTATAAACACCATTTTTGTGCATTTTTCCCCCTGCTTCATATTTGTAATGCTTTAAAGAAAATATAGGGCCTTTTGCCTGTGATTTTATCATCTAATATGTGAACTCTCTTTCTAAATCAGTGGTGTTAGAGGGTATAGACAACAGCCTAAATCTGTCCCCATACAGGATTAGGGTATGAAACTTTTAAAGATCTCTAAAAGTTATACAAGTCACTGATCTTTGATATAACTGTATTATATTATCTAAATTCAGATGAAACAATTTATAATTTTGAAATTAATTATATAGTTTAATAAAGATTAGAGATTTCTGTCTACTTATGTTTTATTCAAGGGTTCTTAAGTTAAAATATTTAAGCCAACACAATAATTCATATCAATATAGGAAGGAAGAGAGGGTTATTATTTGTTTTATGGTTTTTTTAAAAACATATTTCACCCAAAACCCTTCATTTACCTTTATTTGTTTAACAAATATATATGTGTTTGTGTATACACATATGTATATATATTGTTTTAATCATCCTGTACATTGCTAGATGACATTTTAAGGAAAACCATGAATTCTATAATTACTTTAAGTTGTATAATATTTTTGTAAATATTTTGGAAATTTTTCTTAAATAGGATAGAACTTAAAGTAGCAAAGTCCTGGCTATAGAAATGTAATTGGTTTATATATATACACTGTTACATTTTACTTGGGAATACTGATTTTTGTTTTATAAATCTTTGATAAAGAGTAAGAAAGGAGAGACCATTTTGAGGTAGAACCATTTAATGGCAAGAGAAGCCCATGTTGGTATAGTAAACTTTCATTATCTGTAATTGAAGGAAACGACTTCATCCATGCTATTTGTGAATCAGTGAATTGCTAAATTCTATTTATTTAAATATTATTGAGCAGCACCTACTAACTGTACCAGGTGCACTCATAACTGGTTTCCAGTAGTAGTTGCCTTTTTAAAAAGGAGCAGAATAGACAACTATGTATTTTGGCTAAATTTTTTATCCTTTGAGAACTTCAAATAGAAGAGGTTCCTTATTAACTTAAAACTCTTTTAAGTTGCTGTTTGATCTTCAAACATCTGATTTCCTGTTTCTTTTTCAGTACACCAAATGAAAAACTGTTGGGTCGTTTGGTAAAGGAAAAGGTAACAACTCTTGTACATGCTGGATTTCTTTTTATAAATTTGAAACATACCCTGGAACTAGAGAATGGTTGCAAGGGGGGCTAATCTTCTTAGAATGGTAATATTCCAGAATAAATAAAAACCAAGGGGGATAATATATTTTTTTTAATTCTTAGAAAAATAAAAAGTACTCAGACAGGCTTTGCCCAAATGGTATGATTAGCTCAGTATTTGATTTTTGTATAAGTTGTACTGAGGTACCACTAAAAGTGATGTCTAGGTCTGATTGTCAGATTAAAGAGGACCTCAAGATGATTTTAAATTATTTAGAAATGGTCTTCCCTGACTACCCTTGCTAATTCATGGGACTAGAGGGTGAATGAATTTCCTTTATGCCTCTTACATGAAAGCTACTTTCCTATCTCATTTTCTAAAATTCCAAAGAAGAGAAAAGCTAAACTTCGTGTGATCTTTAAAGAAATTAAGAAAATTGTGTAATTGAATAAAAACAGTCCTTGAGCTCCTCCTGCTGGTTGCACTCAAAACTGTTCAACTGACTGGGGAACTAGCCTGTTAGTGAAACTGCATAGTACTGAGTTTATACCTTTAAAATGATGTTTCAGTAGGGCCATTTCTAATTTGTCAGTTCTGTTGACATTCCCTCTGTGCTCCAGTTTTAGGAAAAATGTTTAACATCAAAACAGTTGAAACGTGACTGGTTTCTTTTTAACTAAATGTAGGTCACATATTCTTTCTAACAAAAGTATCATAATTTCATGTTAATGTTATTTATTTCAATTGTAGTTTTCATCTAAGAAAACTACCAGATTAGTATCTAAAATAATTATATATCTAAATGAAAATTTAAATTATTGAGGGGAATAATCAAGTTTTTTTTAAGATGAATATAGTAAAAGACATCAGTTTTTCCTAAAATAATTTATAGATTTAATGTAGTTTTTGTAAAATCCAATGAGATTTGGGATAATTTAACAAAAATAGTTATAAAATGCATCTGAAAAACTAAATGAGCTAGAATTGCAATGCAAAAAAATGAAAATCAAAGAAGTTTATCACAGCATAATTTTCAGTGGAGGAGAAATTGTAAGGATATTACATGTCCAAAAAAAGAAAACGAAAAATGCATATTTGAACTATGATCGAATAGTCAACAACTCCTAAAAATACTTGTATATTGGAAGAATTTATAACATCATGGCAAAATACTGTAGGATACAGGTGTTACTTGAAAGAAGCAGAATAATTATTGTATATAGAGTGTAATTACAGTAATTTTGAAGAACAAAACTTATGTATAAAAAAAGACAGTTTGAAATGGTAGCCTTCTTTTTACTTTCATTAAACTTCTTAAAAATCTGTTTTAATCATATTTATTATTTTTATAGTATGATACAGATTTTTATATTCTTGATAAATATCCATTGGCTGTGAGACCTTTCTATACCATGCCTGACCCAAGAAATCCTGTAAGTAATTTGATTTTAAATAACTTGTTTGGGGGAAGAGGGAAAACTTTATTGTCACTGTGTCAAGTTGTACAATGGGAATAATGGTTTTCATTAGTAACTTGCAGTTTTGATGGACACGTTTTTATACGTATTGCTACTAGTTTCTGTCAGTCAGGTCAAAATGATACTGTGAAATTTGAATATTCTAGCAAATTAGTCCCCAGAACCTGTGTTAAAAATAATTTTCATGTGTTTCTTTTTTTAATTTTTTTTTTTGTGTGTGTGGGGGGCTGTGTTGGGTGTTCTTTGCTGTGTGCGGGCTTTTCTCTAGTTGTAGCGAGCAGGGGTTACTCTTTGTGGCGCCGCGTGGGCTTCTCATTGTGGTGGCTTCTCTTGTTGCGGAACACGGGCTCTAGGAGCACGGGCTTCAGTAGTTGTGGCACAGGTGCTCAGTAGTTGTGGCACACAGGCTTAGTTGCTCCGCGGCATGTGGGATATTCCCGGACCAGGGCTCGAACCCATGTCCCCTGCATTGGCAAGCGGATTCTTAACCACGGCGCCACCAGGGAAGTTCCTCATGTCATTTTTAAAGATATATGAGGAAGTAACACTATATAAACAACAAATAGTATTAATAGATTTGAAGACTTTACCAAATCATTTTATTATTTACCTTGAACTAAGAATTCATATTCTATCCTGGTAGTTAATCTAAATAATATCTTGTGGCTTTTCATTGTTTTTCCTCTGCACTGGTTCCCCAACTTTAGTGGGCATCAGAATCACTTGGAGGGCTTTTAAACCACAGATTGGTGGGCCCCATCACCAGACTTTCTGATTAGTTGGTCTGGGGTGGGGCTTGATAATTGGTATTTCTGATAAGGTAATACTGAAGCTACCAGTCCAGGAATCACACTTTGAGAACCATTGGTTTATTGAAAGACAAGGAAAGAAGATAAAACCTGATAAGGAATAGTTTGAGCTATGGTAAATTGATGTTCAATTTACTTTCCTTAAAATAATGGCATTTTAAAAGTTAAAAAGACTGACACCTGTTGATAATTTGAAGTTCCAAAAGTGATCTTAAAATCATATCACACTTAAATTTCAGATGATAAAGTGAAATAAGAATCAGCACTACTTCTTAAAAGAAGATATAATGTTCTGATTTGCTGTTGGAAGGTGTGGGAGAAGGGGAACATAAAATCTGAGAGAGGCAAGGAAGAACTTATTATTCAACCCTCACTAGTTTAATCCTGTTTTAGAGAAACAAATCATGTTTATTGGAGCAGGTTCCATCATTAATTGTAGGAAAAAATGGACTTGCTCTTCATGCAACAAAGGGTGTTTTCCCACATATGTGTGATAGGGTGATAGCCACTTGAGTGGTATTTTTTTGTTTGTTTTTCCTGCAGAAACTGTCCAACTCTTATGATATGTTCATGAGAGGAGAAGAAATACTGTCAGGAGCTCAAAGAATACATGATCCTCAGCTGCTAACAGAGAGAGCCTTACATCATGGAATTGGTAAACAACTTAAATATATTGAGGAGGACCATGTATATTCTGAAAACAATAAATTTTAAAATCCTTTAAAGACTTTTCAGAAACAGTCATTTGTTTTAATCTTTATTGTACAGTAATTGCTTTTGCAATTTTTTTAAGCTAAATAAGATGATAAATTATGTGGGGTTTTTTTTATGTTTGTTTTGTAGATTTGGAGAAAATTAAGGCATACATTGATTCCTTCCGCTTTGGAGCCCCTCCTCATGCTGGTGGAGGCATTGGTAATATTTCTTTGTATTATGACAATATTTCCAACCCAGATTTCATTTGTCAAAGTGTTTCTTCAGCATTAGACTCCAAAAAGTAAATTCTGTATATTGTTATTACTTACAAATAAGTTCATAAGTGCTAAGTGTAATACAAATTTGAATTATAAGAATTTTTTTAAGTGAGTTACGACTAAATGAAAATTTGATTTTGAGTATCCTGTTTTCTTTCTGTACCCATGAGTTCATTCAGGTTAGCCCAGATTAAAGCTCTCCCTCAGGTTAGATCAGACTGCTGCTAAATGTTTTTGTTGAAATGTAACGTTTCATTGGCTTTTAGAACCACTTCTAGAGTATATGTAAGATGCTGCTTTGTGATTGAAAATGAGTAAATATTTAACTTACTTAACTTTTGGATGTCCGTATCAAAAACTCTTAAGTTTTCTGTTGTTTGTTTTGGGGTTTTTGGTAAACAGGTAATATACTTACAAAAATTTCAAATTCAAAGCATATAGAAGAGTGTACATTCACCTCCCTACAGAAAACTATTGTTTCTAGTTTCCTCTTTGCCTTTGCAAAGATAATCTTCAATATGCAAAGCTACATGCACTTTTTAAAATACATTTTTTATACAAATTGTAGTATACTATATAAACCATTCAATACCTTGCATTTTTCACTTACTATATTTTGTAAGTTGTTCCTTATCAATACTTGAGCTTCTTCATTCATTTTTAATCACTACATAGAATCCATTGAAAGGGTGCATGGTAATCTTGTTAACCAGCTTCCTATTGATAGACAAGTAGGGTATTACCAGCCTTTTGTTATTACAAACAATGCTACATTGAATATATACATAGTTTAAATTTCAATGGGAAATTTATGGCTATTTTCTCTTAGAATATTGAGTGATGTGCATTTTGCATGATATTTTACAAACTTTTGTAACTGACTATGTAAATTTTCATCGTGCTTGTGAAGAAAGACACTTGAATGGTTATCAAAATACTACCTATTTTTGTTAATTAATATTTGAGTGGAAAATGGGATATGGTGATTTCTTTTTTTTTCATTAGTGTTAGGTTACTATAATACAAGGTTCAAATTTACGTCTGCAGATGTTTTTGAGTAAGGAATAGAAATAAAAATATTAATTCTTTTATTTATATTACTTTTAGATGTTTAATGTATTAAACTTAAAAGTTGTTGATATATAAAAAGTATTCTTTGACCTTGCCTTCTTTGTGGGATGTATTAGTTTGCTACAATTCAGTGAACTAGATATATCATATTGCACACAAAAAGTTTCATTTGCTAGTTTTGCTGTGTTTCTTAGGTGATACTTGTTCTTAATTCTTGTCAGTAATATAGTATTTAAGTCACATGTCAAAATCAGACTCTTCTACATTCAAAACATTTAGTACAATAATGTATTATAGAGTCTTTTATGCTAGGAACCATCATGTTTCATGTGTATTGAATTATAATAAATTTCTGGTAACTTCCATTAAATCAAATTTCTGTGAACCAGTTTATGACTTTCGTCTTACACTGATGGCCTGGACTACATAATTAAAATCTGGCCTCATTTGAAAACATAATAATAGGCTTATAAAATATTTTTTGTTTGTTTAAAATATATATATATTCTTTGTTTGTTTAGATGATAAATTTTGGATATTTACATAGATTTTTGTAGTTCACATTTCACAGACTCCATACAGCTTAAGAATATCTCATTTAGTTCTTCCCACATACAGCATCATCTGTTTCTGAATCAAACCCAAAATATTCCATTTTAAACTCAAAATAATAGAAGTCATTTTTCTTCCTAACAAGGAAAAGCATTTTGTTGATCAGTGATATTATTTTGGTAGTTTTCAATAGGTAAGACCCTGGGAGATTTTCAGAAAATGAATTAATGATTATTTTGTTTTTTCCAGGGTTGGAACGAGTGACTATGCTGTTTTTGGGCTTGCACAATGTTCGTCAGACCTCAATGTTTCCCCGTGATCCCAAACGACTTACTCCTTAAGGAAACTGTTGCTTTTTATTCTTTCCAGTACCTGCTATTAATCAGGCTGTACCTTAGGTACTTAAAATATGCAATAAAATAAATGTCTTATCCAAAGTGCCACAATTACCTTTGGACTAATTCAGTATAGGTTACTTTAAAAGAGAAGATTTTTATAACTTTGGACATGCTTCAGTAGGAAATGGTTGAACATTTTAATGAAAAATTCATATTGTTATGTTAAACGTTCATATATTACATTACTACAATAAATGTTAACAGCAATTTTAAAGTTAATATTGTGTAAATTTTCTTTTCTATATTTCAGTAGCTACAATATTAATGTCTTACATTTTCAGTATTTGGTCTTATTTTTTTAAATTCTGACGTTGAGGTAAGAACAATTTTAGGGGAGTATCTGAGATTTTAATGAATGTATAATTGGCATATCATGGAATTAGGCAGAAAATATCAATTCTTAAAAATTGTGCTTAGAAATCATGTAAAGCAGGTGAGAATACTGGTTAGAAAATATACAGTATAATATATTGTTAAATAATCTAAACCTGAATTTCAATAAAATTTTAAAGCTAATTATAGTTGTTTCTGTGTAACTTCATGGCAATGTGATTTTATAACTGGTTCTTGGCATTTATAATTTGGGAAAAGAAAAAAAATAGACATCCCGTTTATGTAAATGCTTAAAAGCAAATGAAAACTGATATATGCATAACATGTATTAATCAAGAGGTAAATTCAGATGGGTGTAAGGATACAGTTCTTAAAGCTGAAAGCTTGGGTTGCTTTAATAGTTTATTTCACATAGATTAAAAAATATTGCAGAGGGGCTTCCCTGGTGGTGCAGTGGTTGAGAGTCCGCCTGCCAATGCAGAGGACACAGGTTTGTGCCCCGGTCCGGGAGGATCCCACATGCCACAGAGCAGCTAGGCCTGTGAGCCATGGCCGCTGAGCCTGCGCGTCCGGAGCCTGTGCTCCGCAACGGGAGAGGCCACAACAGTGAGAGGCCCGCGTACCACAAAAACAAATTAAAAAATATATATATTGCAGAATTTTCTGTTTTTGTTTTTAACTGGTACTGGCATTTCGTGAATGTCACTAAAATGCACTCCCACTTCCCTCCCAAAATGAAATTTCTGTTTAAGAATTACAGTTAGAAACACTTTTCCTCTAGATTTTTAAATATGTTGATGCTGATGTTAATTTTATGGTGAACCACACATAATGGTGAGGAACAAAATAATGTAATGCAGATATTTCCTACAGAAAAAGGAAAAATAATACAGAAAAAAGTAAGAGGGTAGAAAAGTAAGAAAGGTAGAACATTACCCTTGGATCATAAATATCTGCCCATTTTTTTTTTATTTTTAAAATTTATTTATTTATGGCTGTGTTGGGTCTTCGTTTCTGTGCGAGGGCTTTCTCTAGTTGCGGCAAGCGGAGGCCACTCTTCATCGCGGTGCGCGGGCCGCTCACTATCGCGGCCTCTCTTGTTGCAGAGCACAGGCTCCAGACGCGCAGGCTCAGTAATTGTGGCTCACGGGCCTAGTTGCTCTGCGGCATGTGGGATGTTCCCAGACCAGGGCTCGAACCCGTGTCCCCTGCATTGGCAGGCAGAGTGTCAACCACTGTGCCACCAGAGCAGCCCTGCCCATTATTTTTTAAAGTTAATTTATTTCACCATCTAGATTATGAGCTCTTTGAGAGTAGAGACTTAATTTTTATATCTTTCTTTCATAACCTACCAAAGTATTTTGAGTTTGGTAGGCACCCCAGAAGTGTTAAATACATTTAAGCTACACCAAGAATAAAATGAACTATACCTATTTTTTTCTGTATTGCATAATCCCCAAGCCCCAAAATAGTATAATAATAACAGCCCTAGAGCTATTCTTCTCAAGTTCATAGAATTATAGCTTCTTTCAAAATAAATGGTTTATAACATCTTAGAATGATGTAATCTTTGTATGTAATTGTTTTTTTTATAAAGTATTTCAAACATGTCAACCAGATTAGAGCATGATAAAAAGAACACCCCTATACTTGCCACCAGGCTTTATCAAATCTTAATATTGTCATATTTGCTACAGATAATTTATTTTCTTTTTTAGAGAAAAAGTAGTGGATACAGTTAAGGTTTCCTATTTACCCACCCTGATCCTATTCCTTCCTACCTAGTGGTAACTACTATATCAATTCAGTGGGTTTTTTAAAACTCTTTTCCATGTTTTTATATTTTAATTAAATATTTGTTTCTATAAACATTGTCTAGTATTATTTTGCAGATTTATTTGATATGTGTATTCTGGGATTTTGATGGAGTTACCTTGAATTTATAAATAATTTGAAAAGACTTGGAATTTTCATCTGTTCAGTCTACTAATGAGTGAACATGGTATATTCCTTCCTTTTTTGGTATTTTTTCTTTAATTGTGATGTTCTTTAATATCTTTAAAAATTACTTTTTAATTGGGAATTCCCTGGCAGTCCAGTGGTTAGGACTCCATGCTCTCACTGCCCAGGGCCCGGATTTGATCCCTGGTCAGGGAACTAAAATCCCACAAGCTGCGCTGCACAGCCAAAAATAAATTACTTAATTAAATTAAATAAATTACTTTTTAATTTTTCGTTTATGCTAGAAGACCTTACCTTTTTTTTCTATTGGAAATGGGACCTTCTTTTTCTCTTTTTTAAATTGTTAGGCATAAGAACACTATCGGTTATCAGTTTTTATTTGTTACTTTTTTTATGCAGCAACATTCCTGAACTCTTATTAGTTCTATAGTTTCTATTGAGTGTCTTGTATTTTCAAAGTAGACAACCAGATGCGAGGAAAGATAGCATAGTAGTAAAATATGGATTCTGTGGCTATACTACTTGGATTAGGGTTAGGGTTAAGATCCTGATTTTGCTGTTTACTAGCTATGTAACCTTGGGTTACTTGCTTATCCTCAACTTTCCTTATTTTCATAATCCTATCTCATGGAACTACTGTGGGAATTAAAAAGCATGAAACTCTTAGAACAACACCTGGCACATAGAATAGTGTCTGGCAAATAAAGACAGTTTTACCTCTTCCTGTCTAATTCTTGTGTCGTATTTACTTATTGTATTAGTTAAGCCCTTCAGTAGAATGTTGAATAAAAGCAGTGATGTGGGTGTGCTTTTCTTGTTTCTGAATTAATTTTTTTTTTTAAATTGAAGCTGGGATCCATGTTCTTTTATTAATTTATTTTTTTTCTTTGGCTGTGTTGGGTCTTGTTGCTGCACATGGGCTTTCTCTAGTTGCAGCAAGCGAGGGCTACTCTTCATTGCAGTGTATGGTGCCCTTTATCAGGTTAATGAGTTTCTGTTAAGAATGAGTCTTGAGGGCTTCCCTGGTGGCGCAGTGGTTGAGAGTCCACCTGCCGATGCAGGGGACGTGGGTTCGTGCCCCAGTCCGGGAGGATCCCGCATGCCGCGGAGCGGCTGGGCCCATGAGCCGTGGCTGCTGGGCCTGCACGTCCGGGGCCTGTGCTTCGCAATGGGAGAGGCCACAGCAGTGAGAGGCCTGCGTACCACAAAAAAAAAAAAAAAAATGAGTCTTGAGTTTGTCAAATACTTTTTCTGTATTTGCTGCAATTTTTTTTCTTTAGTTTTGAATATGACAGATGATAGTAATACAAATTCCTGATATTTTTCTGGAATAAATACTACTTGATTATGATGTCTTATTTTGTGTATGTACTACTGAATTCGACTTGCTAATATATAGAATAAAATTCATTCATCTTAAGTGTGTAGTTTGATGTATTTTGGTAATTTTATATAGTCAGGTAACCTCCACCTTAATCAAACTACAGAACATTTCCATTGCCCTAGAAAGCTCCACAGTGCATCTTTATAGTTCCCACCTCTGGCAACAAAGATCTTTTCTAGAGTTACATATAAATGGAACAATATATAGTCTTTTGTGTTTGACTTCTTTCTTTAAGCATGATGTTTTTGAGATTCATCCATGTTGTTGCATATATTAATAGTGTACTTCTTTTTATTGATCAGTAGTATTCCATAGGATGGATATGCCATAATTTGCTTATCTGTTTACCAGTTGATATACATATAAGTAGCATCCAGTTTTTATTCTGTAGTGAATAATGGTGGTATGAACATTTGCTTGCAAGTCTTTGTGCAGGCCTGTTTTCACTTCTATTAAGTAGATACCTAGGAGTGAAATTTCTGCGAACTATAAGAAGGTATACTTAGCTATATAAGATACTGCCATACATTTTCCACAGTAGCTGTAGCATCTTACATTTCTGCCAGTAGTGAATGAGAGTTTAAGCTGCTCCACATCATCACCAACACTTAGAAATGTCAGTCTTTTTTTTTTTTTGGCTGCATTGGGTCTTCACTGCTGTGAGCGGGCTCTCTCTAGTTGTGGCGAGCAGGGGCTACTCTTTGTTGTGGTGTACAGGCTTCTCATTGTGGTGGCTTTTCTTGTTGTGCAGCATGGGCTCTAGGCACACAGGCTTCAGTAGTTGCAGCATGCGGGCGCTAGATTGCGTGAGCTTCAGTAGCAGCGTGCAGGCTCAGTAGTTGTGGCTCACAGGCTCAGTAGTTGTGGCACACAGGCTTAGTTGCTCTGTGGCATGTGGGATCTTCCTGGACCAGGGATCAAACCCATGTCCCTGCATTGGCAGGTGGATTCTTAACCACTGTGCCACCAGGGAAGTCCCAGAAATGTCAGTCTTTTTAACTTAAGCTATTCTAGTGGTTGTATAGCAGTATTTCATTGTGGCTTTAATTTTCATTTCCCTTGTGATTAATGATGTTGAGCATCTTTTCATGTCCTTATTGGCCATTTGTATATCTTCTTTGATGAAGTGTCTTCATATCTTTTGCTCGTTTCTTTTACTGGGTTGATTGTCTTCTACTTGATAAGGGCTCTTTATATATTCTGAATATAAGTGCTTTGTCAGATATGTTTGGCAACTAGCTTCTCCCAGTCTGAAGCTTGCCTTTTCTTTTTTTCCTTAGTTTCCTTTCAAAGAGCAGAAGTTTTTGATTTTATAGTTGTGCTCCTGTGGTCTATTTAAGAAATCTCTAACTAACCCAATGTCACATGTATTTTTTGTTATGTTTTCTTCTATAATTTTAGTAATTTGAGCTCTAACGTTTACATCTGCTTTCCATTTCCAGTTAATTTTTGTCTACAGTATTTGTAAGGGTTAAGGTTCTTCCCCCCTACCCCTTCATGTAGATATTTAGTTGAACCAGACCATTTGTTGAAAA